AAAGACAGAAATACAACAAAAAAATTTGATAATAACAATAATATTATTTATTATATATTAGGAAGCAATTTTGACCAAATGGAAACATCGTTAGAAAAGATGAGAAAAGTTGAGAATATATATATATATATATATATATATATATATATATATATATATATATATATATTATTTATATACGGAAGGATGGATGGATACATTAAGATGAATATAATATATTACGTAGAAAATATACTTAATCAAATTTAAAATAATGATTTCCCGGCATGAAAGTAACAATGGATGCGCACACACAACCTCAATTTCATTTTCTACAAAAGAAGGTTTAATCAGTTTTACTAACGTGCTTGAAAAGAAACTTGATGCATAATAAAAGAATGTGTTTTTAGACATGAGAGAAATGTGAAAATAATTCACGTCTTCAATTATCGACTACGGTATATTAATATTAGCGTCGAGGTAAATATTTTATTTGATAAATATATAAAATGATTCGTATTCGAAGAGACACACATGAAATACGTGAGGACGTAAATCATCTGGCTAGATAGTAGTTGCTGCGCTTTAACAGAAATAGGTTTAAGTAGATAGATGGATAGGTATATATATATATATATATATATATATATATATATATGTTAAGAAATGGACAAAAATAAAAATGTCTTTAATAAATATATATATATATATATTGATAGATAGACAGGTAGATAGATAGAAAACACGTTATATTAGAAAGCACATTATGAAAAAAAGAAAGATAGATAGATCGATATATAGATAAAAAAAGATAGATAGATAGATAGATAGATAGATAGATAGATAGATAGAAAACACGTTATGATATTAGAAAGCACATTATGAAAAAAAGAAAGATAGATAGATAATTAGATAGAAAAAGAAAGAAAGAAAGAAAGCACGATTTGATAGATTGCAAACTTGTAATGGTGGATAGCTAACTAGCTAGATAGATAGTTAGAGAGAGTGAGAGAGAGAGAGAGAGAAAGAGAAGGAGAGAAGTGTAGGTAATAATACATTAAGATAGATAAATTTAAGTAAGGTGATATATTTAGCTTAACAATTATTTAGAAATATAAATATTTTTTCGTTATATTATGTAGCTAAATAGTTACCAAATTCAATTCATATACAAACATATATATGGAGACATATATTTATACTTATGTCATATATACATGTTTTACTTAATATGTTCACATAATAGAAGGCGAAGAGCCACTGAAGGTATGGCTTTTACTGTAGGAATAGGCAAGAATTTAATTTCATATACTTATACATACATATATATATATATATATATATATATATATATATATATATATATATATATATACCCATATATAAATATACCTATATATATGTGCCTATATATATATATATATATATATGTGTGTGTGTGTATACAAATATTATATATATATGCATGTATTTAGTCGTGATGCAATGCCATTTATTTTAGTCGTATGTCTGCTACTTGTGAACTTATAATAAAACTGATCTAAACTTAGTAAATCTGTGTAGACAAACACACACACACACACACACACACACACATATATATATATATATATATATATATATATATATATATATATAATGATTGATTGATTAGTTCTGAAGATCACATTTAATCATGATCCTGGTAATATAAATGAAATGTTTATTCCTATACCGACACGCTTTTACCTTAATGGAAAAACATATATACAGTCTGGATAAAGGATTAATATATAACCTTCAGACCAAAATTATATATATATATATAAATAAAATATATATATATATATATATATATATATATATATATATGATAGTTGGTATATGTAGATCGACTAGTCGATCCCTATTGCAGCCGTTGCCCGGCACAATTGTGTTTGTTCAACATGCACAAAGCCCAACTGTGATTTATACTGGAACTATGCTGAGCGGAACTTAGTTATAGTTCCTGGGAAAGACAGTGTTATCTAGCGCGATCAAAACCCACGCTCACGTTCACGGCCACGATGTTGTGTGACTTCGTGCTAGCGCAGTTATCAACGACCCCCCCCAGTTTTCTGTCTACCAATTTCAGTCACATGTTTTGGGTCAACCAATGTTATGGTTTTCTGGCATTTTCCAAAGTATCGTCTCCTTCCTGAGAATCGAACCCAGGTCTCTTGTTCAAAAAGCGGACGTACTACACACTGGCAACACGCCCATTCATATATATATATATATATATATATATATATATATATATATATATATATATATATATATATGTGTGTGTGTGTGTGTGTGTGTGTGTGTGTGTGTGTGTGTGTGTGTTTATGTATATATCTGCCATTTAAGATATTCTTGTGTATCTGTTTATCTAAATTAGGAATGTTTTAATGTGTACCCATTTCTTTCACTGTATCATTAATTTTTATACGTAATCTGTTCAGTAAATAGCAAAATATACACACAATTAGGAGAGGCTAGATCGTTTTCTCTGTAGACTCTGGTATCAGTCAGCATCGTAACAAAGCTCGAACAGGCAAAACAACCCTCATACTTCCACTTTCACTTTCACTTTCACTTTTAAACTGTCTCACTATTTTTCTCTGTCTATGTTTTAAATGTGCATATATATATATATATATATATATATATATATATATATATATATATATATATATATATATATATATATATATGCATATATATATATGCATATATATGTATAGAAATATATATTTATATATATTTACATATTTATATATATATATATATATATATATATATATATATATATATATATATATATATGTACAGGAAATCAAGCAATGAAATGAATATATACACACAAAAATACACACATAAAGATATATATGGAAAAAATATTTAAATATATATATATATATATATATATATATATTTAATAATATTTATATATATATATATATATATATATATATATATATATATATATATATATATATATATATATAAGTATATGATTGGTGTATACGGAATAAATTCCAATAGCCAACAATTACTATTCTTAAAAGATTGCTCAATACAGAGTTGAGCAGATACAATTATTTATTTAATAATTATAACATATTTATGTTATAATTTTTAAATAAATAATTATATATATATATATATATAATATTTTCCATCTATAACTATGTGTGTATTTTTTGTTTGGGTGCTTGCCTAAATTCATCTAGTGGTTCATTTCCTATATACTTATAAATAATAAATACACAATCACAAACATTTAAATAACTGAAGGCAAATCCTTGAGAATGTGTAACAGAATAGCCGGAAGTTCTCTGCACTAACAATAATTTCGGCAGTTTTTACGCCGAATTCGTCCCAGATAAATATGAAATTTCCTGTTCTCACAAACACACACAAAGAATCACATCCATTCAAAGGAAGAAGATATAAAATTACAGATTTTTTTTGCCAGTTAATTTTAAGAAAATATATTACAACCAAAATACATAAGTCTCTCTTCATCTCTTTTTTTCTATTTCTCTTTGATTTTTATATAACTATCCATATGAAAACACAAACACACAAAAACATTCATGCATGCATATATATATATATATATATATATATATATATATATATATATATATATATATATATATATAAAAACATATGAATAAAAACATCAATCACCTTACTTACTTATATATATATATATATATATATATATATATATATATATATATAAAATGAGAAAAAGAACATTAATCACCACTTACGATTTCAATTTTTGTTATAATTGCTTAAAATAATAATCATATCATAAATTATCATAAAATTATAATATATATAAAATATATATATATATATATATATATATATATATATATATAAATCTCTGTGTGTGTGTTTGAGTGCGCGCATATATATGTATGATGCGAGGGAGTAGCTTGATGAAGAAAAATAGTTTTCTCAGAATATATATATATATATATATATATATATATATATATATATATATATATATATATATATATATATATTAGTCTATACCCCTACCACATGAATGGCCTTCTGCACACTGTCCATTGCACACTAAAATTCACTAATCTCTGTGTCACAAACTCGAAAACATATTTTCATATAAATCCACCACACACACGCCTGCACACTGATAAATACACATATCACGTATGTTTGTTTGTGTGTGTGCGTATGTATATCCCTATAAGCATATATGTCACATGTATTACTCAATTAGCCTATACACACACGAACGAACGAATATATGTATATATATATATATATATATATATATATATATATATATATATATATATATATATATATTATAAATTAATTGATTTAAAATAATTTCTTTCGCTACACAGTTCTAACCATGTTTCAAAATGGAAGCTAAAATCCACGAATTTAATTTTGTGATTAAATTAAAGACATTAGTTCCATTTCATCCTCAAGCGAATTTTGTTTCCAAGGTTACAGATAAATCTATTTTCTAGACAGGGGGTTGGGTTTTCAATATGTCTATAATTTAATGTATCAGTTATTGCTACGTATATATTTATACATAGGCACACGTACACACACACACACACACACACACACACACACACACACACACATATATATATATATATATATATATATATATATATCCCACTTTTATTTCGTATCTTATTCGATTGAATATTCTGTTTAAATACTTCCGTTAATGAAACATCAACTGAAAATGCATTTTGTGCAACGCATCCAATCTCCTCCAACTGCGTTCAACATTTTCGAAGTGGTTCTATGCTATGATATCTCCTTCTTTCCCTACTCCCCTTCCCCTGGTCCCCTCTCGCTATCCCCCATCAGCTTCTTCTTCTGCACCCTCTCCGCCTCTACGCCCTTTCGTCTCTAAAAATTCTCTCGAACTTGCAGCAGCATAGTTAGAATGATAGCCAGATAAATAGAGCTTTAGCTAGACAGATAGATATAGTGATAGAGGCAAAAAGAGAGAATTGTGGAAAGTGCGGGGTAGGAAGTTAAAGAGAGAGAGATTGAGAGTGAGAGAGACAGGGGGAGAGAAAAGAATGTTTCCATAAATTTGAAGTCACGTTATTTAAAATGGCGGCAGGTAAGCTCACACTGAATTGAGATGACTGGGAATTTCGCGATACTGGTTAAGGTTGAAGCAAATTGTGTTACTTATCGACCACCACCTCCCGTAAAAAGACAAACAAAGAAAAAGATAACTAATATTTAGGAGTTAAAAGATATTTCAGGAATTAAATGATTGAAAAGATAATTTGTCTCTTGGAATTTCTTTAAAAATTAAAGTCGGGTTATTCTCGCATGCAAAAATGTCTACTTCGTATTCACTTAGCATTAAGCTAAGTTTGACAAAAGACTTCTGTTAATGAGCACTCATTAAAGAGCTATTTCTCCCCCACCAGAGATACACAGACAGTAGCTTCCTAAACACTTTTACTCAGATTCAGAGGATATATAATGTCTGCCAATATCTAATCTGTAATCATGAACTATATATATATATATATATATATATATATATATATATATATATATATATATATATATATATATATATATATATACATACTGAGCAATAAAAATTAAAAGCTTTCAGACATACTGGTTTGTATAATAATATATTTAGAGTTTTATTATTTCAATTCTGTTCCTTGATTCGTTTCGGTCAGCATGGACATAATCAGGAGAAAAAATATCCTGCTTGTCATAGCAGTGAACTAATGGAATATATATATATATATATATATATATATATATATATATATTAATCGAATCGGACCGATGTGAGGAAAAAAATATTATAACGACAGGCATATCATTTCATAAACCAGGGTTTACTGGGTGTGTAAAATTATAAAACCAACAGTAAACATGAAGACTATATATATATATATATATATATATATATATATATATATATATATATATATATATATATATATATATGTATTTTTTCATAATAGCTAGCGCATTCATTATGATGCAGTTGTCAAGAGAGGATTGAATCCTTCCTTGTAAAATTTAAATATTGTTATTGATAACCTACTGTTAATATAGTGAAGCCGTCCATTTATTTCTATGTACCAATAATATATATATATATATATATATATATATATATATATGATTGCTTGAAACAGCTAGAAGAAACTAAAATTTTGTCATTAAACTACATTTCCAGTACTTTAGGAAATTGTTTATATATATATATATATATATATATATATATATATATATTGTTTTATATATATATATATATATATATATATATATTGTTTATTTTTTATATATATATATATATATATATATATATATATATATATATATATATATATATATATATATATAACTAGAGAGAGAGAGAGAGAGAGAGACGATAAGCGAAATTCTGATGCATGATCTTTTAAATACAGGTTTATAATGTGCATAGCATCTATAAATTAAAGGAATCTCATATTTACAGCTGTCAAATTACATTACTATGTATTATCTTCACTGTTTTCATATATATATATATATATATATATATATATATATATATATATATATGAATATATATGAATACTATAAGGTGTTTCGTATATTTTTATTTATATAAATATCCGTATGCTATTTCTTCTGCCAGGTAACCCATTGTTTTAATAGTTTATTGCACTGTGAGAGCAATTTCTAACCGCAGCATTGGAATATTCTGCTAATTACATATCATAAGAGGAAACATTTTTTTGTGTATTGTGATTGATCCATTAGAAAAACAAAGGCTGATTAATGGTGTAAAAATTATCGTGAAAAGACTATTTAATCTCAAATAAATACACATAAAAAGAAAACTCGTTTCTTCTCGATAGTCACCGAGGAAGTGATAGGAAGTTCTCCGTCTGATCTTTGAGAAACATCATGGCCAGATGCGATTTTAGTAAGCGTATCACCCCTTTGGCATAAGGACGAAAGCATTGAGCCCCCAATGAGGATCAAACTCACTACTATGTCGTATTTGATCGAGCGAGACTAGTTTGCTAAACATTACAACACGCCAATTTGCTCGGAGGAGAATTCTGACCAAATGAGCCAACTGTTATATGTTTTTTTTAATCTTGTCTCTTTTCGCTTTCTCTCCTCTGTATATATATATATATATATATATATATATATATATATATATATATATATATATATATACATATTTTCTTTTTCTATGACAACGATATCTATCTAATGTTTTTTATCCACCTCCTTTTCCGCCAAATCTTACATATATGCATGAGATATATTTTACCAGTACCCCAGTACCTTGACTTGGTGAAAATCTATCTATCTATCTATCTATCTATCTATCTATCTATCTATCTATCTATCTATCTATCTATCACATATTCATATCTATCTATCTGTCTATATATATATATATATATGTATCAATCACATATTCATATCTATCTATCTATCTATCTATCT